TTTTGGGACAAGTTCATGGCTTTTTCAGAGCCACTTCAGGACAATTTTGGGACAAGTTCGGAATCATTTCTGGGTAGCACGAAATGAAATGAAATAGGTTTTATCTATTTCTTAAATGGTTATGAAAATGTCGTGTACTGCTTCCCACAAAATGAAATGAAATGAAAGTAATGTTTAATTTCTAAACTAATCTATATATTTATGTATATATGTAACTGAATCTTCTAATGCTTTGCCAAGCCGCACAAAGATGTTTACGCAGCTAATATTAATTGCTAATTTTAGATTGAAAATAATAATCGTTTTCTAAGCCATATACAGCGATACCAAAAGTATTTTTTCATAATTTGTATATAATTATTTGATATTACTTACATTTCAACTTTTTCGATTACGACACGACAATTTATTTTATTATATTTTTACACTCAAGCAGAATCAATTTATTCTTGCTTCAGCATTACAAATTACACTCGCGAGCTAAAAAAAAAAATGTTTTTAATATTGCGAGATTTATATTGCTTGCAAAAGAATATCCTATTTATTTATTTATTATAATTTGTGTAATTTCCAAGCGTATAAAAAAAAACTTCAACCTGCAATCTTCAACTTTACTCGACAACTGTCTGCTGTAATAGTCGCTGAGCGCAAAATAAACCCAAAATTACTTAAAAGCATCTCCTCTTAAAACTACCTGTATGTATAGTTGGCAACTTTTTGAACATGTTTTCGTTGTAGTTTCGGTTGGGTATGCATACATACAATATGTATGTACATATGTAGCTCTTTGCATGCATGGAAATGCCCTATATACTTGAAAATCCTTAAATGAAATCCCATATTTGTATTTTTTTTTTGTGGCGCTGGTTTTGCCATTTCATTTTTCCATAAATGCCTCTGAAGGTATATGAGAAATGTAGAAGGCTAATCCCATTCAAATAGCTATATGTAACAGAATTTCAACTGCTACTTATCGACAGCTTCTTTGCGCCTCTTCATTCGCGGGTAAATTAGGTTTTTTACAAAAAACCATTTCAAGCCATTGATTAGAAAAGTGGAATGACTAGAGTGTGCCAGCCTGTCCCAAATGCAAAACTTACAACGAAGCATTATCGAAGTATTCTGCCTTCTTACCTGTCTCACATTCATACTTACACAGATACCTCTTTCACGAGAGCGCATGGTAATCCCACTAATTACCGAATTTTCCCCAACAAAGGATATGAGCAAGCCGACGTCATGGGTAATTTTCTAAAACCACATTACAGTAAATATTCTTTAGTTATTTTAACTGCACAATAATTAAGCTTATGATATATCTAGCACCATTAGCTTCGAAAATAAGTAAGTAGTACGCTATTAAATGCCATTATTTTATCATCCCGGTACATATGTATTTTGATGATCGATATTAAATTGCTAATTATATCTGCATTCCCTGTATCTAAGTATAGTATATGTATTCCTAACTTATTTTCAATACTGTAACATCTACCAATCATCCGCTAATCTGTTGTTTTAAACCGAAAGTATCAACAAAAAAAAAAAAAAACAATCAAAAGCGCATTTTTGATAAAAATTAATTGCTTTTGAACTCAATGCGTGAATAAAGAGTCGCTTTAACACGACTCAACAACGTTCAGTTTGCTACTCGCTTGGCTAGCTGTTGTACGTAGATCGTACGCTTGAATAAAATTAATCGACGCGTGCATCGATATGAGATTCGAAACGTTGCTGATCTCGTTTTTAGGCATTTTAAATACTCACAGCATTATTGTCGCGTCTGTTTCGCGAAACACCCGAAAAGTACACGGCCAAGGCCACAATCCGCATGGAGGCATTCAATCGCCACCACCAGGCGACTATGACTTGCAACCAGATTTTTTGTCCACTTCCAGCAATAATAAAGGCAAAGGGCATGGAAATAATGGAAATGGTAATGGTAATGGACGCGGTAATGGTAATGGTAATGCCAATAAGAACGGCAGTAATAAGGGCTTGCAAGGCTTTGTCTTAGACACGGAGTTGCTTGGAGGCATTCAATCGCCATCACCAGGCGACTATGGCCTGCAACCAGATTTTTTGTCCAGTTCCAGCAATAATAAAGGGAATGGGCATGGTAATGGTAATGGACGCGGCAATGGTAACAGTAATGGCAATGGCAATAAGAACGGTGCTAATAAGGGTTTACAGGGCTTTGTCTTAGCCACGGAGTCGGGCAACGTTGAGTCGGCGTTAGACTGTGAGAACCCAAACGGTCCTGGTAATGGACATGGCAAGGGTCATGCCTATGGTCATTGTCGTGGCAAGGGTAATAAGTTTGGCCCTAAACGACCGCCACCTGGTCTTTATAAACGTTTCGCCGCTATCTATAGCGATGTCGATCGGAAAGTTGATGGCGCGCGTTATGATGAGGCGCTCGAGAATGATGAAGTCAATGATGATTTCAATGGACGATCGATTGTAGCGCCCGGACAGTATCCGCATATGGTAAGTAATCATGTGAATATGATAAGTGTTCGATTTAATGTACAGTAAGACCTCGATAAAATGAAGTTTGATAAAAGGCGAAACTCAGTATAACAATTTTTTTTTTGGTGATAAAGTTTTGTCAACAAAAGCTTTTATATAAGCAGGGTTAGACTTAAAACCCTCTGTTTAGCAAATTATGAATACGGACAGCATTAGAGTTTTGTTGGATCTGAAAATCAAAACTAAACTAATGCTGAATTTCAACTAGAGACTGAAAAGATAAAAAAAAAATTTAAATTCAGTTTATTGACTTTGTTTCAACATAATGACACGAATATTTTGTAAAAACAAAATTTCTATAACCGTTATTGACCTTTAATGTCTGGTGGAAATCAAGCATAAGTATTGGTAAAACGATTTTTTTATGCATTTTTCGTTCAATAGAGCTATTGATATTCTATAAATACAACGAAACTATAGATATGTATGTATATCGAGCCTTCACTGTATTCTAAATGCAGCAATTAGCCGAACAAAACCAGTTTTTGGACTTCTAGCGCTAATTAAGCGCATTTTGCATTATGAAGTGATTTGAGGTCATTGAAACACATATGTATGAATTTCAAGAACATAATAATCGATAAGAATTCAGTTACTACCTACAGACATAAATAGATTTATGCCCTCGCAATTATTTATTATTCATTAATTAACTTATCTTTTGTCTTATATTAATTATAGTAATTATACATACGTACATACAAATAAATGTATCAAATTCAATTAATTTCAGGCTGCGCTGGGTTTTCGCACTTACACCGACAACTACGATTACAAATGTGGCGGCAGTTTAATTAATGAAGTTTTTGTTTTAACTGTTGCGCACTGTTGCTATCACAGCGGGTGAGCGTTTACAATTATAATTAGTAATTACATATGATTTAATATTTAATATGTAGACTAAAATATGCTAGCGTGTATGTACGCTTTAATTATGCATTATTTATTATTTACTTTGAAGTCAAGCTCCCGAAGTGGTCAAAGTGGGCGACATCAATTTGAAAAACATTGAATTGGATGATATTTTTCAAGTGCGTCCTGTTGCTGAAATACAAGCGCATCCTTGGTACAACTCTTCATATAACTATCATGACATAGCGTTGATCCGTTTGGCACAGTCAGTGATGTAAGTCATTACACCTACATTTTCGATACCAAATAATTTGAAAAAAAAAAAAATAATAATCAAATCACCTGCTCTACTGATACTAAGTCTTCCGCCAAAACTTAAGTAAGCTGGACCGATTCGGAACTTCCTTCCAAAAATCTTATTATTTTTATTGCATGGATTTTTTGTCAGGGACCAAGAACGCGTTCCAGTTTTGGTGTTGTTCTGCACGAGAACAAAATGTAATGTCAAGAACGTTCCCACAAAAGAGCTTTATGGGAACAAATGTAATGAGAACAATTTGAACGAGCACAAAAGCTTCGGTAACGTTTCTGTAAAGAAAAAAAAAACGAACAAAACTCTCAGTAACGTTCTCAAAAAGAACATAATGAGAACGAAACTTTCGGAAACGTTTCCAATGAGAACAAAATGAGTAGGAAAGTATCGAGAACGTTTTGAAGGAGGATGAAATGAAAACAAAAGTCTAGGGAGGAACGTTCTGCTAGAGAGCAAAGGTTTTGGGAACTTAACGTTAAGAACGAGAGAGGCATCTGAGTGTTGGGATGAAAAATTATTTCTATGAGAAACACGATTGTTTATTCTAAGCCAGTGCCCGACAAAAAGAGGAAAGTCTTGAAATGAGAATGTATTAGTTATGAAACAAAAAATGAGAATGTGTTGGTGGTAATGCACGGAAAAAATTTCTGTGTTGTATTACTTATTATAAAAACTTTGGTATGTTTTTTTTGCCGTTTTTTTTCATTGTGCGCTATTTTTTAGATCTAAACAACATAGAAACATATAATGAAAGTTAACCGCCCTAAGAAAGGAAAAAGTTGGTAAAATTATTATTATTTTTTTATAATTTAAGTGTGGATTTCTGAGCAAAAAAGACAACCTGCTTCGAGCACTCTGAATATTAAAAGAAAATTTCGTTGATTTCAAGTAGAAATAAAATAAAATAAAAACAATTTAAAATAACGATTAAACCAAAAGATGAATAACAAAACATATTGTATGTTTTAATTGAGGACTAGTCTGGTATTAAAAAAAATACATAATTCACAAAGTTCTTTTAATATGAAGAAAAAGCACGACTTGGTACCATATACATACCTATTTATAGGGGTGTATGTACGAAAAATTGTGTTATAAAATGTTTGAATGAATATTCTTTCATTCTGCTCAGTGTACCTACTTTATTCAACAACAGTGCGTCATCAACCTGCTTCGCCTATTGTTTGGATGCAACTAAATAAAATTTGTTGCTCTTCTACTCCTTCTGTTGACGTTCGGATTGTGTACGTGTAAGAAGCCGATTGTGTACATGTGAAAGGCCGAATATAGTTCGTTTCCCAGGAAAGTGTTTGGCGGGCACTGTTCTAAGCCAGACGAAAGCTGGATCATTTGAATTTCCTATTGCTCATCATTAGAGTCCATTTATGAAACAATTTTTCATTTCATATGTAAGAAAAGTTGGTGTCTTAAGGGCCAATTTCACAATGCGTAGTTAACTCGGAATCGGGAGTTAACTACAGATTTTTGTACTGAAAATCTCTAGTTAACTGTCGATTCGGAGTTAACTACGCACTGTGAAATTGGCCCTAAGTCTTTCGTTGATTTCATTTGCAAAATTATGTTACAGTTCTTTTTGATTCATTTTAATTTTCAAATGTTTCAAACCAATGGAACGCTTTGAGAAAAATTTTGTTTTCGTTCCCTTTCTCCGCGAATAGTTCAGAGAAGATTGGTTCCCGTTTCGTTCTCTATCAGAAATTTCCTGAGACTTCAGTTCCCATTTCGTTTGTTGCCAAAACGTCCGGAGGCCTTTGTTCCCATTCCCGAAAGTATTGTTCGCATTTTGTTCTCTTTGGGAACGTTCCATAGATTTTTGTAATTTACATGGATAGTTTTAATCTCATTTCAGTACGAGCTAAGAGAGCGACATTTAGTTTTGATCATACCCTTTGTTTTTAGGAAAAAATATGTTTTAAAATTAAATTTATTTATAAAACACTCGTTTAGTTCGGAAAAAACTAAGATTTACATCTAGTGTTTTGTAAAGAAATTTAGTTTTAAACATATTTTTGCGAAAAATCACTTCAGATGATGGAAACAGTTAAATTATTCTTTAATTTTTATGAACTCGGGTGTCAAAGATAATAAATTTTACAATTCCGATCGATAAATAGTATAATTTTTATATGGAGTGATGTACTCTCTATAATGCATATGTACGTAAGTCCATAAGGTACAAACATATGTATGTATGTATATATGTAACTATGAAATGTTAAATTTGTTAAAATTTCATATCTGCAGCTACACAAACTTTGTGCGGCCGATACGTTTATGGGTCAGCGATGACATTCCGTACGACAGACTTCATGCAATGGGTTATGGTTCGACCGCTTTTGCGCATGCTCCAACAAATGTGTTAACCGAATTGGAGTTGTCCATTGTGCCGCTGTTACAATGTAATCAAACTCTACCTTCAGATACTGGTACACCAGATGGACTGTTGGAGTCACAGATATGTGCTAAAGATTTTGAAAAAAATCGTGACACCTGTCAGGTGAGTAATATTTTTTAAAGGAATATAGAAATTATGAAAGGGCTACATTATAAGAAAGAAAGAAAAACTCAGGGCTACTGCTGAAGCCATCGTAGTTTTGAGTGTCGGGGCATCTATAGGAATGTTAACTCTAAATCCGAATAGCTACAAGCGTATATTTCCAAAGTGGTACATACAGGGCCGGACTTAAGCACAGGCTACATAGGCGCTAACCTAAAGGCACGCGCCACATAAAAGAAGTAAATAAAAAATATAAAGAAAAGAAATTATAAAAAATTAAAAAGTTTTATATGTATTTACAATTTTTAAGAATCGTAGGGTGCACTGAAGGCGAGTTAATTAAAGACATGTTTAGTTCATTTTTTACCTTAATCAAAGGGGATTCACAGGTAAACGGAGTACGTGTGCTACCGGCACAGCCATAGGTACCACTCTCGCCGGCCGTAGTTTCGAAGTGAATGTGATTACAAATTTGAAGTGTTACTTTGGGTAACTTTTGTACTTTCTATGAGTATAAAGGCCCGTCTATATATGTACAACTTTAGCGTCGATTTGGTGTTCGCCTCGCTCGTAAACATTAAACTTTTCAATAAGAAACGTAGTTTATTTTTTTGTCAATTTTTGTAGTTTATAGGGCAATTCATCAAAACGCGTAAATGCCTCGTAACCATATAAAATTACTTTCGAGTTTCCTAGTTATTCGAATTGAAACCACGTTCGACAAGGGGTGAAGGAAATTTATTTCAAAGCGCATTGAATGTTTCACTTTTCAAATATACATAAGTACATTAAAGTGGTCCAAAAATGTATGTAAAAAAATAAGGTCGCATTTTTATGCCGCCAGCCCCTAGGATTGTTCTATACCAAAAAAAATATACCCCTACTTTTTATTTTGAAATAAAAAAAAAATTAGGGAGTGCTCAAAGCGCTCAAAGTTTTCAATGTATTTTATATGGGGAAAAAACAACGTTTCATAGAAATAGTGTAGAATTCTGGAAAATCAATATTTTTCGATGGGAAAACTTTGTTTATCTTATTTATTTATTCCCGATAATAATACCCGACTGCTCCTTTAATAATTTTTTCATGGTAACTATATCTTATAGGTCCTAGAGAATGCAATGGGGGACCAATAAACAATCTTTAATCATAAAAAATGGTTAAATAAACGATTGGATATTAATATTTTAAGTCTCCTGAAGAGAACCAAAGTTTTACGATTGAAAAATATTGATTTTCAAGAGTTTTATACCATTTTTACGTAAATTTGTTTTTCCCCATACAAAATACATGGAAAACTTTGAGCGCTGTGAGCACTCGCTAAATATTTTTTGATTTCATAATAAAAAAATAGGGGTATATTTATTTTCGGTTCAGAACGTTCCTAGAGGGTGCCGGCATTAAAACTCCGACTTTATTTTTTTGGACCACTCTAATGTACATACATATATCTAAACCAAATCAGCGTTATTGAATAAAACTTTATTTCCAGGGCGACTCGGGTGGACCACTACAATTGAACTTGATGCGTAAGAATAGAAAACACTTTCGTTATTATTTGATTGGAATGACTTCGTATGGAACGGTTTGTCGTAGCGCATATCCTGGAGTGTATACGCGTGTCTCCTCGTACATTGAATGGATCACATCAGTTGTTTGGCCAGATTATTACAGCAACTATTTCCCGGCGGAACAGTAATCGAATATACATAAACAAAATGACAACCTACATACATATACATATATAGTAAGTAACTAAAGCAACACTTGTTTATTTAATCGATAAACGCTTTTAAACGTGGAGAAACCAAATTTCGGATGTTGTCAATTTTGGCTTGCAATAATTTTTAATAATGGGTGGCAAAGGTAAAAAGAAACGTAATAGCAAAGATTCCACTTCGAGTAATAATGGCGGTGAAGAGGGAGAAAAGAAAAAAGATAGTAAAAAGAAGAGTAACAGCAACAAATCGCTGGGATGCGACATCTTCAATGATGTAGCCATGGAAAATGCCTATTATGTGTGTCATAATGTACAGGTAACATTAAGAGTCGATTTTGCTTAAGTCATTAGGTGTTTTAAATTTATAATAGCTCTCCCAAGGCGAATTTATATAAGGTGGTGTTACTAGATCAGCTGATTTTGTGTATGTGTTTCGCCTCACGGCTTCTAATGTCAAATTGAAAAATTTTGTTTGAATTTCCACACACACACACTTACAGATTTTGATAGTTTATGCCGCCAAAGCAAAAACAAAATACATGTAAATTTTTGTTTTTGTTCCCCTGCTATCACCTTATATTAATTCGCCTCGAGCTCTCCCAAAAGTAAACAAAATTACATAAGTATGTATGTATGTGAAGAACATTTTCTTAAAGGGTAAGGAAATTTTTTTTTAATTTCAGAATTTAAACGGCTTAAATTTTATCATTAAAGCTTAGTAAGCAGCTCTCAATAAAATCAAAAATTCCATATAAAATGACGCTCAAGAAATGGCTAAGAAATCTTCCTGCATCAAATTTCCTTAAGGCCGTACCGCAGTTCTTAAGAAATTTACTACGCTTTCTACTACAGTTTTCTAAAGTTTCTTTTTTTTTTTTAAGAAAAAAGAGCGCAAGGCAACCCATGTTTGCAACAGAAATATATGCCCAAGGCATGGCCATGATTCAATTATTAAAGGTTTTGTAAGTACATAGATGGTTTCCATGGTACAATAATTACAGGTATTGTCTTTCCAGAGAGCGCATATTCCGATCTGCCTTATTTGAAGAACACCATTGTTGCCCACACTAAAAGGTTTACTGCTAGGGAAAAGGGATATTTCCATACCCCATATACCATATATGTATACGTATTTTTTTTAAACAAAACTTCTTGCAGAGGACTTTTCAATTTGCAAAAACCGGAAAAAACATTTGCCTAGTAAATGAATTCAAAATTTGTATGGCTCACTTCATTTCGTACGTTTTTTTTTGTTTTGAAAAATTATAAAATTTAAATTGAGCCAAAACAAAAAGCAAAGTCAAATAAAAGGAAAAGTAAAAGAATCTGCATTGAACTGTGTCAAAATGAAAATAAGGGAGCACGAATTTCGATATAAAGCAGAACCCTCTGGGAAGACAATACCATGATAAAAGCATAGTAACCCTGCAAACCAAAGTTCCCGAAATCTTAACGAAATCTTTAGGAGTATCTGATTTCTGTAACGATTTTTTTCCGAATTTTCAAAGAAAACTATATGAATTGGTTGACACGAACTCGTAAACAAATTTCTGTACGAAAAATAAAGAAAATTCTGAAAAAAGTCTGCAAGAAATTCTTCACATAGCAGCATTATTTTCATTTCTTTACCGATTTTCTTCCGAAATTTCGTAAAAGAATGGAAGTGTGCGTAATTTATTTCATTTTAGAAAATTCGGAAAAAAATCGGATGGGATCTTTCCGAATTCGTTAAAATTTCTTTACGATTCAGAATACTCTGAAAAACTGGTTTGCAGGGAAGGTAAAACCGTTCTCTCAATGCGTCGGCCATGATTTTTTTTTTGAAGTTTGCCAACATTTTAAAATCGTGTAAAATTGAGAGTAAAAAAAGGAATTTTTCAACGTTGTTGTTGTTTGAGTTTGAAAATGAGAATGTGTGTGTGAGTTTGTGTGTAAAATTTTAAAATTAAATTGCTTGCAAACGTCAAGAATTTGAAAAATTTTTCTCAGCGGTTCTACCTTCCTATTTTTTTATCATGGACAATACCTGTATTTATTGTAGCAAGGATGGTTTTTGGAAGCAGAAGAAAAAGGGGAAGAACTCAATCACACTTTCTAAATGGTAGCAAAATTCCACAAAAAGGTGTGGATAATGGTTCATCGTGGTATTTTAAAAGAAAAACGAATTTCATTTAATTATTTAATTTAGACCACATTATTTACAACGAATATAAGCCCTGATTGTTATTGAAAATAAATATTGCTATGTATATACCAAAGTAGCGTACGTCAGACGGCGCATAAAGGCGAAATTAAACAACGACGTAGCGTAAACGTACGTCGCAACATATCAAATTTACTGTTGATAGACAGAGACAGAAGCAACGGCAACGTCACCAACATGCGGTGGTGAGTTTTCGTTAACACGCAAATGCCATTAGGTAGATGGTGTCAGTGTCAACGTACGTTTACGCTACGTCGTTGACTAACTTCGCCTTAACTCAAGAATGGATGCTCCACTTTGAGCTATTTTTTTTTTAGTTTCTCTGCCTTGTAAATTCTTTGCGGTACCATTTACAGTAGATGGGTATGAAGAAGCTATTTGTTTGTGGAATTTTGATTAAAAAACGCCCAATAAAAATATTTGGAGCTTATGTTTCTTTCGCGGTTATGGCGCGATTGCTTCGAATATGGTAATTCGAATTCTTTGATGTTGCACTTTTACTTTTCTGGGGATATCTGCAAATCATAAGCTGCTGGAGCACTTTAAATGCTCAAAATTGATCCTAAAATAAGCCAATGTTTACCGTTCTTTTTACGACAGAAACCAAATCGGTTAGTTACAAAAATGAATCTGTCGATAGCTTTGGAATTTTATCTTCGAAACTCAAAACTTTTCTTTGAAATCGCTTCTTTAGTGCTCGTGCAATAAGCGTTTCCGTTAAGCTCTAAAAATTACAAGTACAACATTTCAGCATAGCCTCCATATCGAGACGTAAGACGTATTCTACGTCAAAAACAACGCTTCAGGTATTGAGTTTTTAACACAAACACTAAGTATAAATCGCACAACACTACAAAAATTCGAGTGTTAGTTAAAAGTTGTTATTAACGAACATACAAAAACATATATTTAATTTAAGTATGGCATTGAAATTCTTATTTAATTTAAGGATTTACTTAAGACGCGTGGATTTGCTTGGCCTGATGGACAAAAGAAGAAGAAGAAGGGAAAACGTTAAAGATCACCACCACACAGCTGACGCCATTCAATCAAAACAAGTGTAAAAAACAATATACTTAATAAAAACGAATTTTAAAATTACATTGTTTATAGCTTCCTATGCTTCAACTACATATTACAAATTTCGACTGTTTTAATTTCATAAGCGACTATTTTTGTTTTCATTAAAAACATTTAAATAGATTATTTTTTGTTGTTGTTTTATTTTTTAAATGTTAAGCACCGGTTGTTGTTCGCGGTCTGCAGACGCAAACGCTCTATCGCCACCCACTCAAAAAGTCCAAATAAAATCAATTCAATAGAATTTCTATTTTTATGCCAAGAAAGTCATCTCTGCATTCATTTATATTTGATATCGACAGTAAAATAAACAAAATTCAGCAGCGCTGTTCTAGAAGAATTTCTCGCATAATTAAACCAAAAAAACAACACAACAACGCAACCACTGAAGACAAGGAAAACAGAGCAAAAGTATATCCATTAGAATTGAGAAGCATTTCCAATCATTTGGTCAACAACATTTTAGCCACTACCCGCTGCTAATAGCGACGAAGCATACGACGACTTTCATTTACGGCATCTTTTCCAAAGTAAACAAAGCAGTCAGTCGTTAACCACTAGTAATTTAAGCGCTTGCGCACAGAGATTCGCAGAGTTCACGAGACGAGCGCGTCATTATCTCCAAAAAAAAAACATTCGGCAGCTTTAATAAATACAAAAATTAGTAACAAAGCGCTAAAGCATAAAATCAAGTGTAACAGCAGGAAAAGCTAACAGTCTGTCGGCGCGTTTGAATGCGAACATTCGGTGGAAATTTGTAAAGGCCAAACGGAGAGCATTCGTTGAAAGATATTTACTAGTTGGTGGCGAAAGTGCGAAGTGTGTGCGAATCGGCGAAGAAAAGATATAAAGAAATATTGCATTTAATTTGAATTTAGTGCATATATATATAAATTTTAGTTACCTACATAATTTAAAAAAAAAAAATATGGTTAAGACACCAGCGATCGGTATTGATTTGGGCACCACCTACTCCTGCGTGGGCGTTTGGCAGAATAATAAAGTTGAAATCATTGCCAATGATCAGGGCAACCGTACCACGCCCAGTTATGTTGCATTCAACGACATGGAACGCCTTATTGGCGATGCAGCCAAAAATCAGGTAGGCACAAAGTGAAAGATGTTGGTGTTTTTAAAGTGAAAAGAAATCGAATTAGGGGAACTATTAAAACACAAGGGAAATAAGCTTTTAAAGAATGTTTAAAATTTAAGATTATTTCACTATAAAAAAGTATGCAACTGGGAATTTTTTGGTTCGCTGGAAATGAATACACACATACATGTTCACATATCTGTGTGAAAGGTTAATTGAAAGTCACAAATGAAATTATGACCAAAAAGTCTATAGGCTGTTCAGAATCTTGTGCGTATGCTCTTGGATTTGCATATTCGTTGCATTTGTAAATTCACAAAAATAAAATAATGCACACGGTTGCCATGGCAGCAAGCAAAAAATTTGTGAAATGCAATTCCAACTGCAAATCCAATTTCATTTCCACAACATCCTGAACAGCCCTAATGAGCTAATTTTTGCACATTTCCATTGTATATTTTGAGCCCAAATTTCAGCTTCAAGAGTATTACCGGGCATTTTTAAAAACTTCGCCTAACAAGGGTTACATTAAAAAAAAAAATATTTAAAAATAACGCTTTATTTAAATTTAATAACGATTTACCAGCGTCCCTTTCAAAAGAAACTACATATACTAAAATTATTTTTTACAAACAAATTGTTCAACTCACAAACCGCGAAAGGCTGGTTTTCACTGTCAAATTCAATGGCATTAGTCAGCCGTTTGATATAGATCAGAATAATAAGTAAGTATTCAGTCATGTTACATACATGCGCTACTTAATAGGCTATCTGTCAATTTGTGGCCGATAAAATATTCGGTAAGTGTGTGGATAAAGAAGATAAAGTTGTGTCAAAATATATCGACAAATTGTATCGGTAATATATGGCTTATGTCAAAATAAAAAATCCAATTGTCAAAATGAAGACAAATAAAAGGACTTTCCTACACATGGACCCATTGTTGTGGTAGCAGTTCACTAAACCCTGCCTAATAGTTCATTTCCACCAAGTCTTAACTGCAGTTTATGTCTATTGAAAGAAGGAGTTTACAACTCGAAGGGGGTAGTTGCTCATATTAAGTACAAGCGCAACGAAGGGATCAATGAGAAAATTTATAAATAAACCTTGACGATCACCCTATGTTTAAATTCTGGGGACTTGTCCTTTTAACTGCAGTTAATGGTGGAAATAAGGCTTAAGTTAGTGATTGCATTAAGTGTTTTCGTCAATCTCTTCTAACGGTTGGTTTATAAAACAGGCAGAGGGTTAGATAGTTATAAGAGAAAAGAGGTGCTAGATAATTGGTTTGGGAATATTAGCATGGAAAACGATTTTTCATTTTCTGTCGATTTCCATATAACGAAAAAAAAATTAGAATCATTTTTCACTTAAATTTATTTCGTGAAATTGGCTCTAAGAGGAGGTTAGTATAGTGCGGGAACCATTTAAATATGTCGGCTGGGTATGTCGGGATTGATTGTGGAAAAGTAGGGGCTTAATCGGCTGTAATATTCATAACACAAGTGTGACCAAGTAATATGGTCCCAAAAGGAAACTCAAGCTCTCCGTCTGCAATGGGGTGTTGTTGGTCTCCGATGACGGCATCAAAAAAATATTCTCTGCCTGTGTTCTTGGTTATTGAAGGTGCTTTAAAAAAAAAATTCCAAAAAAGTCCGAACTGGTACTACATATTTACAAGGAAACGCAGCTGTCCATCTCTCTAAAATATCTAGAGAGGACCTTGGGGACCTTACATCGATGAAAGGTTCGAGAAGCTACAACTGCTGTATACTCCTGCACCAGGGCTACAGGCGAAAATTGGACTCAGGAGCCCAAGTTCGTAGCATGTATCTACACCGCACATATGGGTCACTGTAAAATCTTGAACGACCGTACTGAGTTTCCTACAACCGGCTACATCCCACCTACTCGCATTTCGAACACCGAGTTCATAACCCTTAAGGGAGGAGTGGTCATTGTATACTGTCGGGTGAGGTTTCTTCGGAGCAATTAGGTATATAATTCAGGTCCCGCCTTCTTGATTACTGCGGAACTGATGGCTATCTCAAAGGCCAGTGATGTGGTGTGATACGATTTCTGGTCATGATATCTAGATTTTCACTGACAGCCAGACGGCTGTTAAATCCTTGGGGAAAATGCCGCGTACTTCAAAAGTAGTTGCTCAATGCCACCGAGCTTTGAACGACACATTTGCACACACATTGTCTGGGTACCTTGGAATTCCGAAATTCAGGTATTTTGCAGCGCCGACAAACCCGCGCGTCACGGAACGACATTGCCTGATATAGATATAAGGGATACTTTTTGCGACCCTTTTCAAACATGTAAATTTCTACTGTATGAAAAATTCATAGAAATATCCATTCCCCTAATTCGGAAAAGGCAATACAAGCTGCCTTGGTATACATGAGATTTAAAAAAAAACTTCGGCGAATCGGCGAACTAAACTTTATAAGAGGTTTAAATGGTATAATAATCTCTATGCTTATACATGCATTATTTTTGCATTGTTCTAAAAAATTCAACTAAGTATTTGAATAAATTTCTGTATAAAAATTACATTTTAGGCGTTGAAAGCAACACCAAATCTATCTAGCGCTAAGTCGTTGTGGCAGTTCATCAAGTCTAGGAAGTCTGGCTCGGGAGTTCCATCTGCGGTCTCTTGGAATGATAGATCCGCTAGCACTCATTCGTTTGTGATGATCATGACTTCAATTTCTACTTTCTCTTAACTTCGACCTTTTGAGCCTATCGCTAGAATATGTTGAGAATGGTATTAAAGATCTTAAACCGCCATTAAGATGGATGTAGATGGTCTCTCCACTGTCGTTCTTATACAATGTCCTGCTCTTGCTTTGTCGTTAACATCTGGGGTCCTTATTGACGACTGGAAATCGACAGATGTTACTCCGATTTACAAAAGTGGCAAAAAGGACGATGTTCTAATTAGTTAATACGTTCTCTTAACTTAACTTTTCAGTTTCGGCTAGACACTTACGTACGTTCTTGCCGGACATTGTTTAATTTTATTACAACTACTGCAGAAGCTGCATGGATGCTTGTATAATTTCTCAAGCAACACCGAGCATTTCAGTGCATCTAGGATCCGTTGGTTTAGTCAGAGATAGCCTCCTTATTGGTCACTGGTTTTCTTCTCTTCTCTCTGCGTTTGCATAGTTTTTTAGAAAAGAACTGAATTGCGCTGCAGTTATGTAAGTGGTCTTGGCTGATACGTGGAGATATCGTTCGGTCGGACATCATTTCCCAAAAGCAACATTTTTTTTCTCTCTCTCTAAGATACCGCTGACTCATTTTAGAGGCAGAAAAGTCACAGACCTCTGAGTTGCCTGAGGAGTCAGAAAAGATCATATTTCCCTTTTTGAAGGCGAGCCCAAGTTAGGAGTCATATTAGAGTCTGAAACATTTCACTTTTTTTGGGTCTTAAAAACAAGTATTCTTTATAATTCTGATTACTATTAAACCTTACTTCTGCGTGAACTTTGTTATTTTAGTTCAACTCAGAATTTATGACAACAAAAGAGTATGAAATGAGTCAGTCTGGTTGACTAGTCTCAGTAATTCGTGATTGAGAATTTCGTAAAAATATTTTTCATAAACTCATTCTAGCATCTACCGAAATAAGTATGAATTATACATTTACCACATCTGCAGTTGCTAACCAAATACTTATGTAAATCGATAATTTGTAAACTTTTATTAGTTTCACACCAAATTGGTCATTTATGTATAATTTCATAAATAGGCGCAACGCATTCCTACAACTCAAATGCGAACAAATGCAATGTGTTGGAATAATATCGCGCATTGACAAGCTGTCACCATAAATTTTCACACTGACATCTCATCAACACTCCAAAAAACTATGCACCTACCAAAAAAAATGAACTCTTGAAACCATGTTTTTCTTGACCCTCCAATTTACGGGCAAAACATATGTATGTACATATGTATGTAAGTAGGTACATAGCGCTGGGAATTGCGACGATCGCCCGTCGACGATAAGCTG